AACAACTTCCGGTTGTTCAGAAAGATTGAATGTTCTGAAGTTGATGAACAGAAAAATCAAGAATGAAACGGGAAGTTTGCCTTGTAAGGTAGAGACAAGTCCCCCCTTTATGTGTGGGACATCTGGTGATCGTATTAAACTAGAACCTGAATATAAAGGGCTGACAAGTGAGGATCTGGATAGAACTGATAAGGTTTCTATTAGAGAAGTGGTTGATTCGTGCCCCTTAAAGAATCCAGTAGTCTTGGATGGTAAACCTCCGGTTCTAGTTAGTTCAAACAGTAGTTGTAAGATACATTCACATGGTGTTATGATGGCAGGGAAGTTAGGGTTTGATCGTAGTGATTTGGGGGAACTTTCGAAGAGAAGATTGGGAGGCAACAACAGAATTTGGGAGAGAATCGAATGAAATTTGGGATTGAAAAGGGGACTAGGGATTGACATTCTATCTGAAGAATTGGGAATCGAAGTGAAGAGTATACAGTTGAGGGTATATGTGGGGTGTGTTAGTGGGTTTATTATGACAACCCAATTTAAATTACTGGTGGGCTTATATGTTGGGCTTGAGTCTGTTAGAACAATATTAGGAGAGAAGTTTGGATGGTGAGTCAGCATTAGGCAATTATTTTGTTAGATATGCTGATACTTGTATATATATAATTTGTACCAATCCTTTAAGGATTATCTTATGAATGAAAGCACATTTTTTGTACCTAAGTCTCTCTATTTCTGAAATCCCTAAATTTCTTCTACATTCTCATCCTAAATCATAACAAATTGCTAATTAGAGCTGACTTAAGTGATCCAAAAATATTATTTCACGCTGAGAAAGACAAGGAAGATGCAGAAAACTGGAACCAATGAGGTACCAGAACAGACCATGGAGGTGAAAGAGGAGTCTTTACCATCATGGTGGACTGAGCAGAAAGCTGAGTTGGAAGGAAGGATACAAACCTTAGAAGAAGGAATGACTGAAAACAGAGAGTATTTGCAGAGGATCCTACAATTGGTCAATCAAGCAGGTGAGGAGAAAGATTCACCTCAATCAATTAAGAATCAACCAACAGCAGTTGAAAAACAGAACAAAAATGGAGGTAAACAACCATGCTTGATTACGGTTCTTAGTGAGCATGAGAAGTATACTTTTCAACCTAATGAACCAGGGATATTAGCTTCTAAACCTGTGGGGTTTACTGGTCATCAAACTGCTAATCCAAAGTTACCAGAAGAAAATCATATGGGTAGTTCTAGTGACATTAAGGGGGGAGGAGATGAACATGTGGACACTAGAAACTATTTTAAAAATCCTTTTGGGAACACAAGTTCTGTGTTACCTAGACCAAAATTGGAGCTACCAATGTTTGATGGTAACAATCCTAGGGGTTGGATTAGGAAATGCCATAAATTTTTAATTTGTTTGGAATACCAGAGGAGCAGAAACTGGAAATAGCTGCTATGTATTTAGTTGGGAAGGCTGAACCCTGGTTTGATGGTTATATTATGCAGAAGTATAGGGTTACTTGGCATGAATTTGAGGCTGATTTATGTCATATTTTGTGACAAATTATTTTGATATTATTGAAGAATTCAATAAGCTAATGCAAAAGGGGAGTGTGGAGAAGTATCAAGAAAGGTTTGAGGAGTTAAGACCCTATCTGTTACAACAAAACATGTATTTAGGGGAGGAGTATTTTGTTTCCAGCTTTATTAGTGGTCTTAAGGAGGAATTAAAACATAAGGTGAAGTGTTAGAGCCCAAGAATTTATTTAAAGCTTCCAGGCAAGCTAAGTTTATGAATTGGCTAATGAGATTGAAGGAAAGAAGTATAAATCTCCTACAAAAATTTTTTCTTACACTCCTTCAAATAATCAACAGGGCAGTGTAGTTAAGACTTTTTTGCCTAAGTTGTTCCTCCTCATACAAACACAAAGCATAGTCTGTTGGACTATAGAAGAACCCACAATTTGTGTTTCAAATGTGGGGAGAATTTGTTCCTGGGCACCAATGTAAAAGTAGACAACTGAATTGTATGGAGGAAGAGCCTACTGAATCTGCTTAACATGATTTAACAGAATGAGAGAATGGAGAGGTGGAAGATCAAGCTAAAGAAGCCCTGGAAATTTCTATCAATGCTATTGCAGGGAATGTGGGACTTACTACCCTGAGGATTCAAGGTTTTATCAGAGGAAAACCTATTAATGTGTTAATTGATAATGGAAGCACCCATAGTTTTGTAACTCCTAAATGGGCCAAGGAAGGGGTTGAATTGGTTCATACCCAACCATTAGTTATTACAGTAGCTAATGGGGAGAAGCTGTTCAGTACTGCTAGAAGCAATAAAGTGAGTTGGAAGATGCAGGGCTATGATTTCCAGCATGATTTCAGAGTATTATCTCTGGAGGTAGTGACATGTATTGGGGGTAGATTGGATGGAAGAATTCAGTCCTACAATGATGGATTTTAAAACTAAGACCATCAGTTTTGAGAATGATGGAGAAACTGTAGTTATAAAAGGGTCTCAAAAGCTGCCATTAATCAAATCTATCACAGGTGAGAAATTCCAGAAGTTAACAGAAAAAGACACTGAATTGAGTGGGGAGATTTATTTGTTAAGTGCTGAAGTAGAAGACAGTGTAATTCCTCTACCATTACAAGACCTACTAGAAGAGTTTAAAGAACTTTTTGAAGAACCAAGGGGAATGCCTCCTAGTAGGAAACATGATCATGCAATTGTCCTTAAACAGGGAACACAACCAGTAAATCTTAGACCTTATAGATTTGCTCATCATCATAAGGCTAAAGTTGAGAAATAGATTACTGAAATGTTGTCCTCTTCTATTATTCAGGTGAGTAAAAGTCCTTTTGCTTCTCTATATTTACTTATTAAAAAGAAAGATGGAACTTGGAGATTTTGTGTGGATTATAGGAAACTTAATTCCACTACAGTTAAAAATAAGTTTCTTATTCCTATAGTGGAGGATTTGTTAGATGAATTGAATGAGGCTGCTTTCTTTTCAAAAATTGATTTGAGGTCTAGATATTGACAAATTAGAATCAAGGATGAAGATATTTACAAAAATGCTTTTAGGACTCATCAATGACACTATGAATTTAAAGTAATGCCTTTTGACCTTACTAATGCTCCAGCTACTTTTCAAGCTTTGATGAATGATTTGTTTGGAGCATACTTAAGGAAGTTTGTTCTTGTATTTTTTGATGATATATTGGTTTACAGTTCTAGCTTGACAGAGCATAAACATCACCAAAGAACTGTGTTGGAGGTTTTGTGGAAAAACAAGTTATATGCTAAAAGGAGTAAGTGATTCTTTGGACAGCAACAAGTGGAATATCTAGGGAACTTAATATCAGCTGATGGGGTGGCAACAAATCCTGCTAAAATTAAAGCCATGCAACAGTGGCCTTTGCCTAAGAATCTGAAAGCTTTAAGATGATTTTTGGGTTTAACTGGATACTACAGAAAATTCATAAGAGGATATGGGGAACTGAGTAAGTCCTTAACCAATATGTTGAAAAATGATGGGTTTTATTGGTCTCAAGAAGCTATATCAGCTTTTGAAAAGCTAAAGGAAGTTATGTGTAATGCTCCAGTTTTGGCTTTGCCTAATTTTGAGCAGATTTTTTTTGGAAACTGATGCTAGTTCCAAAGGGATTGGAGTTGTTCTTTCTCAAGCAGGGAGACCTATAGCCTATTTGAGTAAAGCTTTGGGTCCTAAGCATGCAGATCTTTCAATCTATGAGAATGAGTATTTGGCCATTTTGATGACAGTTTCTCATTTGAGGCATTATTTGGAGAGTGGTTCTTTTGTCATTAAAACAAATCATGAGCCCTTAAAACATTTACTTGAACACAAGTTAACTAAAACTATACAGAAGAAATGACTTACAAAGTTATTGGGGCTGGATTATACTATTCAGTACAGGAAGGGTAAGTCTAACAAAGCTGCAGATGCACTCTCTAAACAACAAATGGATTCTGGTGAATTTGTTCAAATAGGAGTTATTATCATAGCACCTAGTTGGGTACAGGATATTTAAAAGAGTTATAAAGAAGATGCTATAGCCCAAGAAAAAATCCATATTCTGGTTATTAAGCCAGACCATCTACAGGATTGAAAATTACTTAAAGGAGTTTTGTATTTCAAAAATAGGATTTATGTGGGCAGCAAAGGGGACCTTAGGCAGAATATAATTGTGGCTTTGCATGATTTACCACAAGGAGGTCACTCAGGTATTCAAGCTACTTATCAGAAAATTAAGTCTTATTTTTTTGGCAAGAATGAAAGTTTTAATTTAGGAGCATATACAACAGTGTGATGTGTGTCATAGGACTAAAACAGAACATATTTCTAAGCCAGACTTGTTACAGCCTATTCCAGTCCCCAACAATGCTTGGAAAGTGATTACAATGGACTTCATTGAAGGTTTGCCATATTTAACAAATTATAACTGCATTTTGGTGGTGATTGATAAATTCACAAAGTATGCTCATTTTATGCCACTATCTCATCCCTATACAGTAGTGGAAGTTGCTAGGGTTTATCTTGATCAAGTTTATAAGTTACATGGTCCTCCAAGTGGCTATTTCTGACAGGGACAAGTCTTTCACTAGTCTGTTTTGGCAGGAATTAATGAAGCAATTGGGTTCAACTACATTATTTGGTGCTGCCTATCATCCTGAGACAGATGGCCAGACAGAGAGATTGAATCAATGTTTAGAACAATATTTGAGGTATATGTGTTTCTTGAAACCTAAGACTTGGTCAAAATGGTTAGCTCAGGCTGAGTGGTGGTACAATACTAACTATCACTCTGCTCTACAGATGACACCATTTGAATCTTTATATGGGTATAAAGCTCCTAATGTGACATGGACAACAGACTCCAGGGTGGAGGCAGTGCAGGATGTCATGCAACACAGGGAACAATTGAATTCATTATTAAGAGAGCAACTACTTAAAGATACCAATAGAATAAAGTAGATGAGTGACAAACATATAACAGACAGGGAATTTCAAATCGGAGATAAAGTTTACTTGAAGCTCCAGCCATACAAACAAACATCGCTGGCCCTGCGAAGAAATTTGAAGCTTGCTGCCCGATATTTTGGACCCTACAAAATTCAAAACAGAATTGGTCAGGTTGCTTATAAATTAGATTTTCCTGCAAATTCGAAAATACATCCAGTCTTCCACATGAGTTTACTTAAGAAGAAAGTAGGGAAAAAGGGACTTATCTCGATCGATCCTCCAGAGGTAGCGTCGGATGGACAACTGAAGATTTACCCACCCCTTGTTTTGGATCAACAAGTGATTACAAGACAAAATCGAGCATTCATTCAATTGCTCATTCAGTGGACGAATATGGGACCAACAGAAGCAACTTGGGAGGATTATATAGTCTTGAGACAACAATTTCCTTAATTCGATCCTTGGGGACAAGAATCTTCTAGAGGAGGGGGTATTGTTATGATGGAAGGGAAGTTAGGGTTTGATCGTAGTGATTTGGAGGAAATTTCGAAGAGAAAATTGGGAGGCAACAACAGAATTTGGGTGGAGAATCGAATGAAATTAGGGATTGAAAATGGGGCTAGGGATTGACATTCTATCTGAAGAATTGAGAATCGAAGTGAAGAGTAAGGGATACGGCTGAGGGTATATGCAGGGTGTGTTAGTGGGTTTATTATGACAACCTAATTTAAATTACTGGTGGGCTTATATGTTGGGCTTGAGTCTGTTAGAACAATATTAGGAGAGAAGTTTGGATGGTGAGTCAGCATTAGGCAGTTATTTTGTTAGATATGTTGTTTTGACAGCTGGTACTTGTATATATATAATTTGTACCAATACTTTAAGGATTGTGAATTAAAGCACATTTTTTGTACCTAAGTGTCTCTATTTCTGAAATCCCTAAATTTATTCTACATTCTCATCCTAAATCATAACACATGGGTTCAATAATTTCCTTAGTTCTTTACTGGCAAAGCGGGATGATGTAAATGTAGTTGGTAGAGATGACGATGAAATTCTTTAGGGTGTACTTACCCTGGCCCCATAAAAAAGTCATTTAGGCCAGCTCCACTTATCGGAGACAAAAGAATAAAGAAGACACTGGCTTCTAAATAATCAAAATTAGCTCAAAGAGTGAAGGAGACTTTATCCAATTCCGGTATGTTGCTTCTTAAAGTTAAAATCGTCTCAACTTTGAGTAAATTGTTTGGAACCATTGAATGAGATATTGAAAACTATGTAATATCCTTCAGATGAGAATTCGAAATCTGCCTACTGTGATAGCAATGCTTTCAAGCGATTAAGATCTGAAAAGAACTACCCTATCAAAAAACGCAAGTTCTTACACTATAGCTCAGTATCAAATTCAGATGGAGGAATCAGCAGTGAGGGCATTTCCAATTCACCTGAAGAGAGATTCAATGGAAATGTTTCAGGTGTATATCCAAAGACGCGAGGAGGTGATTTCCGTACTTATTTTCCGTTATATTATTTTCTTGGTACTTGAAGCAAACAGCAGTTACTTTGCTAACTGATTCTGAACCTATGTCAGTCACTGGAGAATCACCTTCATTAGCAGACCAACGCAAATCATTCCACTCTCGGGATTCTCACTGTATGAGACCCTTTGCTGGAGTTCAACATTCAAAGAGGTTCTTACATCACAATATCTTTCCTTTTACTCAGTGAAGTTTAGGATCAAATCTTTCAAGGTGCCAGAATTGTTTATTGAAATTCCAGAATCTGCAACTGTTGGTTCATTGAAGGTAATGATTACTGACCCATGTCATTATGGTAAAACTGTCTGGTCATTTTGTGTTGGCCAATGGAGGTATCTTTGGATTTCTTTTGCTGCATGTTGCTACATTTAGACCTCGAAGAATTAGTTGTGAAGGTTTATTTTGTCTCTTCAGGCACATCATCTTGCTCCAAATCATGATGGATATCGATTGCATCTGTCGTAAATTGTTATTCTAGTGGCTGGTCTAATTGCTGCTTGCTCATTAGACTTCTTTCTAGTGATAATGACATGAAACTGTTTTAATGTAGAGGACTGTTATGGAGGCAGTGACAGCAGTACTTGGAGTTGGACTGTGCATTGGTATACTTTTTCGAGGAAAGAAGGTTAGAGATGACAATAAAACTCTTCTGCAAACGGGAATTTCTCGTGATAACCAGATAGATGCACTGGGTTTTAGCCTGGAGCCTACACTTCACAAACTTTTCCATTGCTATGTACTGGAGGTTCTCCAATGACGCTTCCATGTGACACACCTCTACCTCTTGCTAGGTAACAAAATAATTTTACAAGGTTAGTAGATATCTACACATGGATGATGGTTCAAAATCTGGTCTCATTTTGTTGTTTCTATTTCTAAACACAAAAAAGAACAATAATTTATTATTAGAGGCTGAGTTTTTGTCTGGTAACAGCATTTCCCCCCCAAGTCTGCATGGATACATGCATGAAACTTCTTGTTAGTCATTTGAAGTTGTTGCGTGATAATGTCCCATGGTTCACGTCGTTAAATACCAATGATGTAATACTGTTTGTTGCCAGGTATCCAGCAACTCCTGGTTTAGTTAATTGTGTTACTCATGATCCCTTGCCCGACCATCACATGCCTAATTTGGGCAACTTCGTCGAAAGCGATCATGATTAATCTGCATCCTCGCCTACTGACATGTCATTTGACAAAAGCACAACTGATTCTAAAGCCCTGGTTGCAGTACCAGCAATGAGCGTGGGGGCAGTAGATGTGGCTCCACCTCACAGGAAATCAAAACGATCTGAAGTTGTGCAACGTAGAATTCGTCGACCTTTCTCTGTTGCTGAAGTTGAAGCCCTGGTCCAGGCTGTTGAAAAACTTGGAACTGGAAGGTATGTTTTGGCCCACTGAAGAAACTATGAGGAACTGTTGAGGTGCTTAGAACAGTTGGCATAATCTTATGGTAATAATACCAGATATCTCCCTTGTGCTGGGAAGGACTTCACCCTGTGGTGTGGTTCAACCCATGGGCCCCTGGCAGAGTCGCCCTCCCCCCTTGTTCAGTGCACCCAGCATGGTATTGGTTTTAATGGCTCTATTAATCTGCAGGTGGCGCGATGTTAAATTAAGAGCTTTTGATAATGCGAAGCACCGGACTTCCGTGGATTTGAAGGTAAGTAAAAGCTCTACACCTGCCGATAAGTCCACTTCTGTCTTATCTTTAATACATTCGCATGGGATGATTCTGCTGCTTTTGGTATTTTGTGAAAGCATTACGACATGATGGTGATGGTGTTTATCTAGGAATCGTGCACGATAAATGGAAAACACTAGTTCATATGTTAGACAGCAAGGACTTGCAGCAAAGAAAGGAAATAAACTTGGAGAAGAAATGCATATTGTTTTCACCTCAATTAGCACCTTGCTTACACTTACATTTATAGCTCTCTAATTAACAAACTCAAACACCCTAACAACCCTGAAACTAATTCCTATCAGACTTCACGTGATGGTTAACTGACGCCAGACAGAATAGTGATTATCCTGTAGGCTAGCTCCGACAGACTGTTCACAAGAGAAAATTCGCCCAAAAACCAGAGAAAAAAAGTCTCTAAGGTTTAATAAAATATTATAAAATCAAAAACAATCCCCCAAAAAGCAGTCCACAAGCCGAACTGTTATAGCAAAAAAATCGTCTTTATTCGAATTTTGCCAAAAATAGCAAAATCCCGAAAATCACTCTAAATTGAAATTCGAAATAAAATAAGCAATCTCCCAAAAATCCGGCCTAAATCGGATTTAAATTGACTTCCTAATTAACAATCGAAATATTACCATAAATAGTAAAAAATAACTAAATCTAGTAATTCGGAGGGGAAAACGACAGAATTTGAGGTTGAAAAAAAGGCCACATGGAGCGTTCCGGATTGGGGTCTTATGCGCGATTCTGACACCTGTAGCCAAAGTTATGGCCAAAAGACTGAGACATACTCAAAACGACCCCAATGAGGAACATGTCACAATCAATTCCCGCCTTTGCGCTGATCTGCCAACTCATGGTATCTCAGCGCCATCAACGTGCAATCTGACAGCTCAGCATCATCTGTCTCGGATCCCCCTGCATCAGTCACCCCGGGTTGGAAAGAACTCATCCTCGAGTTCAGAGTAGTGTCATCAGGATCCACAAAACAATGACTCAGGTGCTTCACATTAAAGACATCAGAAGTCTTCAAGTGACTGGGAAGTCGCAACCTGTAAGCATTATCATTGATCTTCTGCACGACCTCACAAGGTCCAATCTTCCGATCCTTAAGCTTATTATACTCACCAACAGGAAAACGATCACGAGTTAATACAGCCCAAACAAAATCACCAACATCAAAAAGTACCTGACGACGATGATTGTCGACCCGAGTCTTGTACTTGGTATTGCTCTCATTAATGGTCTGTTTCACCTGCTCATGGATACCCCGAAGATACTTTGCCATCTCATCTGCTTTAGGACTGAAACGTCCTATACGTGGAATAGGGGCTAAGTCCAACACCCCGGATGGGTTCTGACCATAGACAATCTCAAATGGGCTTAAACCTGTGGTTCTGTTTTTTGATCTGTTGTAGGCAAATTCTGCCTGAGGCAATGCCAAATCCCACTGCTTCGGCTTCATTCCTGCCAAACACCTTAAAAGGTTTCCCAAACTTCGGTTCACCACCTCAGTCTGGCCATCCGTCTGGTGGTGGTAGGCGCTACTGAAATTCAACTGCGTTCCCAGTTTCCCCCACAGGCTCTTCCAGAAATGACTGATGAACTTAGTATCACGATCTGAAGTGATGGATCGAGGAACACCATGTAAACGCACAATCTCCTTGAAATAGAGATGGGCAATCCGGTCAGCATCTATAGTCTTTCTGCAAGCTACAAAATGAGCCATCTTGGAAAACCTGTCAACCACAACAAAGATAGAATCAGAGGCCCTTTGGGTGCGGGGTAAGCCTAGTACAAAATCCATGCTGACATCGAACCAAGGAGCTTCAGGAACAGGTAAGGGAGTGTACAATCCCGCATTGGTGAGAACTCCCTTAGACCGCTGGCACACATAACAACGGTCCACATAATGGGCCACATCACTAGTCAACTTGTGCCAATAAAATTCAGAAGAGATAAGGGCCAATGTCTTATCTCGGCCAAAGTGTCCCTCATTATGGAGTTCACTTATAATTTGCTACCTCAATGAACAATCTGGAATGCACAATTGTAATCCACGAAACAGATACCCATTATGCAAAACAAAATCATGACGGTGACCCTCAGTTACCTCCTGAAATATCCTTCCAAAAGAAGGATCAGCTGCATACATATCTCTGAACGTCTCAAATCCTGCAACTTTAGTACTCATGGTGGTGAGAAGTAAGGTACGACGGCTCAGGGCATCTGCGACGCGGTTCAAACTCCCTGCTTGGTGCCTCAGCGTAAAAGTGAATTCTTAAAAGTATGCTACCCACTTGGCATGACGTCTACTCAGCTTGTGTTGGCCATTGATGTACTTCAAGGCCTCATGATCGGTAAACAGAATAAACTCCTTCTGTACTAGGTAGTGACGCCAATACTTCAGGGACTGAACTATGGCATAGAACTCCAGATCATAAGTGGAATAATTTTTCTTTGATCCCGATAGCTTCTCACTGAAAAAAACAACCGGACGACCTGCCTGACTCAGAACACCACCAATGCCAACGCCAGATGCATCACAATTTACCTTAAACACTTTGTCAAAATCTGGAAGTGCCAAAACTGGAGCCTCGGTCATCTTCTGCTTGACCAGTTGAAAACTGGCCTCTGCCTCCTCAGACCACTGGAAATCACGCCCCTTGAGGCACTCTGTGATAGGGGCGAAGTACTGAAATTTCTAATGAATCGACGGTAAAAAGACGCCAAGCCATGGAAACTTCGGATGTCATGTAAGGTTCTTGGTCTGGGCCACTCCAAGACTGCATCTATCTTTGACTGATCTGCATGAACACCATCAGTAGACACAACAAAACCAAGAAAAGTCACAGAAGTAGTGAAGAAAGAACACTTCTTTTGATTGAAAAACAAGCACTCCGTTTTCAGCATCTCAAAAACAGCACGGAGGTGATCGAAGTGTGAAGTCCATGTCGGACTATAAACGAGGATATCATCGAAGTAAACTACAACAAATTTCCCCATAAAAGGCCGCAAGACCTGATGCATAAATCTCATGAATGTACTGGGCGCATTAGATAACCCAAAAGGCATGACCATCCACTCATACAACCCTTGTGGCGTTTTAAACGCCGTCTTTCACTCATCTCCAGGCCTTATTCTGATTTGGTGGTAACCGCTCTTAAGGTCAATTTTTGAGAAGATCTTAGAACCAGATAGCTGATCCAACATATCATCTAGACGGGGAATTGGAAACCGGTACTTCACTGTAATTCTGTTGATCGCTCGGCTGTCAACACACATACGCCAAGAACCATCTTTCTTTGGCACTAACAGAGCAGGGACTGCACATGGGCTTATACTCTCTCGGATATAGCCCCTCTCCAACAAATCTTCCACCTGTCGCTGCAACTCTTCGGCCTCCTTGGGACTGAGGCGATATGCTGGTCGATTTGGCAAACTTGACCCAGGAACAAGGTCAATTTGATGCTGAATATCCCTCATAGGTGGTAGTCCAGGAGGAAGATCCTCTGGCATCAAGTTAGAGAATTCTGCTAGCAGCCGCTGCACCTCTACTAATAAATCTGTATCCACGTCTACTGCATTGTTCTCGCAAGGTAGCAAGGCATAGACCATGCCGCCATGCTCAATCTCATCTAAAAACCTGGACATAGAAAGCAGATTAGTATTATGGGTTACTGGGGTAGGAGTAAGTCCTTCCCGCCGGGGTGCCAACACAATCTTTTTTCCCTTGATGCTAAGGGAATATGTATTCTTCCGTCCATCATGAATGACACTGCGATCATACTGCCAAGGTCGACCCAACAATATATGACACGCATCCATAGACACAATATCACACCAGGCATTATCAAAATATTTTCTACCAATTGAAAAAGACACGAGGCATCGCCTATCAACTGTTACCTCACTGTCTTTATTTAGCCATGACAACTTGTATGGCTTAGGATGACGGTCCGTCTTCAACTGCAATTTCTGGACAACCTCCTTGGACACTACATTCTCACAACTGCCGCTGTCAATGATCATTTTGCAGACTTTATCTGCAACTGTGCAAGTCGTGTGGAAAATATTGGTTCTCAACCAATCGTCCCCTGAATCGCTCTTGGGGGTAAGTAGACTCTTGCGAACGACCAAAGTCTCATGACCATCTCCATACAGCACATCATCAGTCTCATCATCGTCATACACGGGTTCGCCAATCTCCTCAGTCTCGTCTTCCACGTTTTCCTCAATCAACAAATTTTTGCCCTTTTGACTAGCAGGCTTCCTGCAATCAATCGCCCTATGCCCTTGTTCACCACAACGAAAACATCTAATAGTAGGGTTAGAATTACCCTGCGGTGGCTGCTGAGCAGGACGGGACTCTTGAGGGCGAACTGGTCGACTGTTGTGATCGCTCTTGATCACTGGTCTCCTGTTTTGCTGTTTTTCAACAACAAGTGCACGCTGGTATGCTTCCGAAACACTCCACGATGAATGAAGGCTGAGGACATCTTGCAAGGGCTGGCGTAAACCCCCCAAATATCACGCCACCATCTGCTCCTCCGTCTCAGATAAATCGTTCCGGGCGACCAATTGGTAAAACTCCTCCGTGTAATCATCGACTGATCGCGCGCTCTGCCTCAACGCATGAAGTCGCTGAAATAAGGTTTGCGTGTAGCCGAAGGGAAGGAAGTGGCCCTTCATCTTCTTTTTCATCTTCTCCCAATCAGTGATCTTGGCTTTGCCCTGTCTTTCTCGTGAACGTCGTAACTGTTCCCACCACGCAGATGCTCTGCCCTTGAGTTTGATGGCGATCAGTTTCACTTTCACGCGATCGGGGACTTCTTTATATTCAAAAATACGCTCCACTTCATTAATCCAATCCACGAATCCCTCGGCCTGTAACGTACCAGAAAACTCAGGGAGATCGACCCGAAAATCGAGGTCTCCATGACGCTCTTCCCGACCACGGTGCTCCCGGAATCCTGCGC